AAGGGCAGGCAGGCCCTGCCGCCATGGCACTGGGCCTGTAGGCCTGCCTCAGGAGCAGCAGGTAACATGCCGGTAATGGTAATTTACAAGTAATGGTACTTTAGGAGTAATGGTAATTTACAAGTAATGGTAAATTACCAGGCTCAAAAGAGAGGTTGGTACTACGCTGAGGGAGCGGGAGCTGTCGTTCCCATCCACTGCCTCGGCTGACGCCGCAGGGGCTCGTCAGCCGGCTCTCCCGTGACATCCCACCGTGGCTCTCACACAGTAAATGCTTGTTTTTGTACCGCGTGCCTGCAAGGATGTGTCACGCCGCAAACAGGGCCCTTGCGTGACATCTCTAAGCCAGCGCTGATCTCGCAACGTTGGATCTCAGAGTGGTTTTCAGTTCAGAATGTAATGCTTTGGTCATGTAGTCTGCCCAGCGCTGCGAGGTGACGCCCTGAGCGGCAGTGAAGCGTGGAGGGCTTCTCTGCGTGCGTTACCTCTGCATACTCACAGTCAAATGACTTTCCTGTCTCCCTGGTATTTGTCATTTCAGATTTCCACGGAAGTGGAGGAGAACTAAAGAAGCCCAGACTGAATTCAAGCCCTTGGTTGGAGCCTGCAGCGTTTCCCAGCTGTGTGATTCGAGGAAGGGGACATGGCTGAGCACAGGGACTTCTGGGACTCTGGAAGATAGAGCAGCTGAGCCACTCCGCGCAAAGTCACCCCCAGTCAAACCCACCTCGGCTCAGCTGACACCTTTTTATCAGTGCTGTGCCAGAGAGCTTGTACGTCATGCACAGGTCCTTGGAAAGATCCAGAGGAACCTCAGGGGGAGGGAACTGGAAGATCAGTTGCTCTTTTACTTGTGAAAGGATCCTGACAAAGGGTGGCAAAAACGTTTGGATACTGACCTGGGAGCTTGTTGACTGGATAAATTACAAACTGGAACACTTTCAGGTGCTTCATTTTATATCACCTTGCCAAGACTTCAGCTCTGAGAACTCCTTAGGAATGGCGATTATTGTTAGACTGGTCAGTCTGCCAGAGTCTGGTGAACAAGCTGCATCTCAGCATGAAGTATTGAGTTCGCTGCACCCCACATCTATTTTCAGAGTCATTGTTCAGATTTAGAACTGCACAATAAGATTTTTTCAGCTTCTTGGCCAAAACAGGGGAAGGGGCTGTGTACGCACACGCTGCAGCTGCCCTGCAGTACAGCTTACCCTCTAGAGCACCTGCATGCTACACCAACACACCAGAGATGAAAGCTCTTAGAGTGTTGTGGCAGTTGCTTGAGTTCCTGTCAAACTACTTAAGTGCAAAGGAATCTTAAATGCTAAGGGAGTGGGGAAAAGGGGCGTGAATGTGGCTCTGCGCAGGCAATAGTCTGAGAAGTCTTTGTGCTTCAAAAGGGTTGCATGTCCCTACTCTGAGATACCACTGAGAATTGTTCATCGATCTCAGCAGTGGGTAGCAAGGTTAGCACTATGGGTTCCTTTTGCTCCTTTATTTGTGGTTCAATTGATCCATTAGTCTTATCTGGACTTCAAAGATCTTTTCATGTACCTCTTGGAAATGTTCCTTCCTTAAGTTCTTCTCCAATTTGCTGCCTGAACTGCACAGCCCACACAACCAAAGAGAGATTTTTATCTGGTCATGTTATATGGCATTTGATTGTATTATTCCTGGCTCTAGGCTAGTGCTTCTAGCACTGTATTTTCATTTGGCTCCATCACTTCAAACAAAGGCTGTTTTTCCTCCCTGTGCTTTGTCTATCATCTTTTTTTGGAAACAGGAACAACACAGAAAAAAATGTAGTTAAGTTTTGCAGTTTATTTCTTAATCATTTAGAAAAGGTCTCGGGCTGTGTATCTGTTTTTTAAACATTCCTCCCATTTTGTGTATCCCAGCTTCATTTTACTCTAGAAATCACAGGCTCTCACCTATCTCCAAATAACCCCTGACAAAAGTTGAGGCAATTGAATCAGAACAGCACATTAAACTGTCACTGGAGGTGTAACCCCTCTCCATATTCAGGTGAAAGGGAGTGGACGCTGAACAGACCTTGCACTGAGGCGGGCAAAACTCTTGCACAACCTGTTGGGTTTTGGCAGGCAGCTCTTGGGGCTTTCAATCTAGGAGCTGGAACCAGCCAAGATCAAATGACACAGATGAACAAAATGGGGGAGGTGGAGGGACAGCAAAAAGCAAAGTACAAGGACGAGATGCCTTATCTCCACGATTTAGAGCAAAGAAACAAGCAAGGCAAATTTACTGTTGTACCCCTCTATTGCCATCCAGGGCAGACTCTGGGGAGGCCCTTTGTCCTGCGTGCATAGAAGGGTCCAAAATGCCACTGGTCGCTGCACCCACAGCTTCAGTGGGAGAGCGAACCTACAGTTCAGATGGGCTTAGAGCAGAGAAGGCTACGGGGAAAACAATTTAAAATGTCCTCCTGTCACCACGACCATGCTGGAGCGAGGTGGTAGCTGATCTGTGTGTTTATCCTCTGTGACGCTGGCAGCGGAGGAGCACCAGACAATGAGCTCTGAACATAGTTCTAACTTGTTTCTGAAGGCAGCCATCCTTGCAAGAACACACAATGGGTGACGTTTAAGGAACTCGTGCCTTATTCAAACAAGCAGAAAATTGGCTCAAGACTGTCTTACAAGGAGCTCTTGTGCTGCAAGTATCATAAATAAGAAGAAAAAAAAAAAAAAAAAAAAGACACTTCATTTGCTTTGGCTCACGCAATGGTTTTGCACGCACAGCAGCCAGGCCCTGAGATTCTGCAGGGAGATGTGTATCAAGAAGGGCTCTGCTAGTTTGATAGTTTCTCTGCTCTGCTTCTACTTGAACAGAAGTTGCATGAGGAATTTATTGTGCTGGTAGGAGGAGGTTTGTTCTCTACAAAAAAGGGAGAAGTTGGAGGTCAGGAATCTGGAAGTTAGGCAAAGTACAAACATGTCAACAGGAGAGCGTGCAGCAAGGTTGGGCAGCTACGGTGAGGTGGCAAAGAAGGACCGGTTTTATTCCAGCGGTGCACGGAAGCCGAGCTGGTGGCTGTGGTAAACTGCAGGTTGCAGAGGGAAGGAAGTGGTTGGCAGTACAGCGTAAACAGCCCATTTTCTTTAGGCTGAGTGCTGCAGGCGAGCTGCTAGAGCAGGGCAGCAGTGCAGCGCCTACAGGGGCTGCTGCTCAGGCACCAACCATGCAAGCGCTCGCAGGGTGAGAAGAAAGCTGCTGTCACCAGCTTTGCTGGCTGGAGCGCAATAGGCTGTCCTCAACAAACTTACCAATAAAAAAATCAGGTAAGAAGACAAATATCCCTGCCTGTGTCAGCACTGAAACTGAAAGAGTTTGGGGGCAAATCTGCTTTTTTAGCACTGACGTGTAGGATTTCCTGCAGGTTGGAAGAGCAGAAAGTGAAAGAGACCGGCCTGCTTGGCTGCTTTAGCTCAGCCCAGAGGGACCTGCATTGCAAGCTGTGGTTCATGGTGCCCTTTTGAATGAAAAGGGCAGGTTTACTCAGGAAACAAACACAGAAGAGTCAGCTGGCTCACTCCCCAAAACCAGTAGGTCCAGCAGAAAGGATGTGCGAGACTGGTTTCAGCAGCAGCTACTTTCACCTTTTCCAAGCACTGCAATAACTTGACTTGCATTAAGATGACTGACATCTCACACCCAGCGTACCACGCAGCCATCTCTGTGGATGGTGTAAGGAGCCAGCACACACAAACGCACTTCCACATACAACCAGAGCCTAACAAGGAGGGAAAAGCCAGTTCTGCAAACTGGAACCCTCCTCATGGCTCACCCCTGGAAATGGAAGGTCACCAGGGACAGAGGACAGGAAGGCAGGAGGGGTACAAAGGGGCCCAGAGGAGAGGTTGTGAAGGATGCTACCCAGGTGTGGAGGATGAATCAGTGGCTGCTTCCTTCCAAATCCTGATTACAAATCCAAACAGAGCTACAACACGTGGCAAAGTG